CTATTGAGAGAAGAAATCCCTTCCTTTTGTTTTTCCTTAACGCCAGAAGCTCCGTCCCCGTTACGTTGGACTCCTAATGAAGTGAAGGGAATCCTCCTTCACTTGTCAGCTCCTATCACATCAGCAAGGGTTTCCAAAACTTCAATCTGCCGGAAGCAAAAATTGAAATAGGCAATAGCAATGGAATAATGGCCCTCTGCCTCTTTTAAATTTTAAAAAGTAAAATAAAATATTCTATAAATTTCTCGAATAAATCCTACTTAACCATTTTAGTAATTTAATCCAGTCAAAGTAGCCTGAGCTAAATTACAAAAATACTCAAGAAAATAGAACTGTCAAACAATCAAAATACTCTATTGTTCAAAGTTAGCAATTTAGAAGGAAGGGCAATTTCTCATTTAAAATTCATGTGTTCGAACATTAAATTTATAATTTAGCTCCAATGTTTGTATAAAAACCTAACCACTCTAACGACTTTATTGTATATGTAGGGTCCACTCTACTTCGACATTATTTGTTTTATTTGCATAGAGATGCTCTTCCCTTCTCAGCAAAGATGCCACTTTGTTCTGCCTTTTGATGCTTCCATGGCCCCCAACCATGGGCCAGACACTGAATTCTAATTTTGTCCTTTTGGCCGACCACAAGATTCCAATGGAAGTGGCTGGGTCTCTGAAAAATGAAAATACAAAAGGAAACTCTGTCCAATACAAATAACAATAGAAAAAAGGACTAGGTTATGGTGAGTTGAGTGCTCCCTCTAAAATTTATCTCAAATATGGATTTTAGATGTAAAAATTTAGTGGTTGAAAATCTCAATTATGGTAAACATGTACATAGAAGAAATAATAAAAAAAAATTCTGGTTGTATCTTTAGCATCATTTGTTTTAAACAATATTGAATGCCTTGGGGGATGCTGAAGTGGGAGTACGTCCCCATGAAACATAAACAATTTTCGTTTTTGTTGTGTGCGAAAACTCTAAAAGTTTGAGGGGTTGATTTTTTTCCAATAAAGAGTAAGAGAAATAGAACCGACAACAAGCAAACAACACACGAAAGGAAATAAATAATGTAAAGAGAACAAATTTTATATGGTTTGTGACATATGTGACTATGTTCACGGGCAAAAACAATCGATATTTTTTCAATAATTTTTTTCCACTAATTCAAAAAAAAAAAAATCAACACTTACTCGACTCGAGAGAACTAAAGACTCAAAACTCATTTGTCATTAGCAGTTCCAAAAAAGCAAATGAAATTTCCCCAACTAACTAGGAAACCCAAAAATAGAAGACCCCAAAAAGTAAGAAACCAATCCCTTAGGGATTCAAGACCAAAATTATCAACACTTTCCACAAATGGCATTTGATAGAAAAAGACTTCCTAAAAACTCCATATCCGAGGAATCCAACTCCGACAAAATTATAGGCACAATTTTCACTCATGGAACCCCAAAGCCCCCAAAACTGAAAATAACCCTAAAACTCCACCACCCTTCCTCTCCCTAAGTCGAAAAAGCCCTCTTAGGGGTACGGGCTAGTTAATTTTCCCACATTTTTCAACATTTTGTACTTAATTGCATTTAATTTCTTTCTAACATAGGTAACTACTTAATTGAGATAAATGTATAGCTGTTTGACAGGATCATCTCATGAGATCTTTTATATTTACTTAATAATATTTGGGAAACGAGGTTTAGAATAATTGTAGGGAATCAAATGCTTTTCTTCTGAAAAACTCTATTTTAATATAAAAATTTCTTGAAGAGATATTTTAGATTAGGACATGGTTTCTCTGAGTCCCCTGACTCGTATGCAGAAACGCAGCCGCCCATAATAATCTATTTTTAAAATAAATTTTGACCCTGATTTTTAAGGGACATATAATCCCTAGCATAGAGATTACTAATGTGTAAAAAAAATAAAATGGTATTATTTTAGAAGGAAGTATTTGAGCCATTAATTTTTAGGTTTTTGAAGGGACCATCATGCGTTGAATGGATGCCTTATGTATCACGGGATACAAATATAGGAATGTGTCCCCCAAGGCATGAACTACTTTTCTTTAAGATAATGGAGGATCAAGTGAAATAGAAGAAAGAAATATGTTATAAAACATTTGTCAAAAAAGAAATATGTTATAGACATCATACAATGTGCATCAAATGCGATGGCACCTGCCACTAATTGAAATGAGTTCATACTGATAAGCTGCCAAGGCCCCCTAAAGTTCACCTATTTGAGTGATCAGCTTGAATGTAATGAAAGGGCACTTGTTTCCAAATCAACTCCCACAAAGAAGAAAGTAACCTCCACTGGCGTACATTATCGAGGGAAAGCATTCACCATTGCAATAGAAAAGCTAGGTGCCACTTGCAGGTTCTTCCAAAGCTCGTATTCGACATTTTCTCGATAGGTAGATAGGTAATATATGGGTTCCGATTTCTGAATCTCAAGGTTGGAACAAGTGCCTTCCAGTTGAGCTCTGGACATGAACTTCTTCCTCTACACCTTCTCTCACCACAGATTTATGAGGAATCAGAATTGTCAATTATGCTTATGGGTATCCTTCATGTGCTTGATATTTTCCCATGGGTTTGTCTACCCTTTCTAGGCAGATTGGGTTCGAAAATAAACTCCATTTGTCGTTACTATCCAACATTAGTGGACATGCGCAGACAGATCCGACCTGCAGTCATAGACATTTCAATAACATTGGAAGAACTCTTCATTTCATACCGCGTAAGCATTCAAAAACAGTGTGAAGATATCCATGCTAGCAAAGAGCATAAGCGCACTAGCACATGCATGTCAAAAACAACAGGCACCATTTACTGCATGTCAGGATTGAACTTCGCAAAACAGGTGTAGTCATGCTTAGATTTACTGTTTCTTTTTCCTTTTAGTGATAATCCATTCATAAAGATACAACAACTTAAGCGGATGGTCCTGATCGGGGAAAAGAGGTCGGAAGCTCATTACCACCTAAAACTTGAGCATCATAATTTGTCAAATATCCACTATAAAATTAGCTTCCCTATGAACTCTGTGCATCTAAAAGCATCTGAAATATGCAATGGCACTTGATTCTCGCCAATTTTCCAATCCATAATCAGTAATTATCAACCATACAATATTATCAAAAAGGAAATAAATGTCAAATTTAAACTGTGAGAAAATAGCCATAACTGTGGATAAGTGGCAAATTAAAAAAGAATAAATCCAGTCAGATTAATTCCCAATATCATATATGGATTAAAGGTGAAGAAACCTAAAAATCCAATCATTAAGAAGGTGTGACTAAAGCAAGTTAATAAATTCATTTCATTGACTGCAAATGAACAAATCTATTGATAATTTGACAAGGACAACTGACGACCCAAGAAATTTATAGTCATGAGCAAGGACTTGAATTTAAAGTACCTGCATGGACAAAAGTTCTTGCAAACTTTTGCAATAACTACTGTAGCAGCTGCCCTGATCTCATTCCATGCATCATCTGGATTGGAATCTTTATGAAATAAGAGTTGCAGATTGTACTCTACAAGAATTCACATACCAGTTTTCAAATTTCTTCACTATTACTTTTTAACATTGCCACAAGAGCAAAAAGTAAATAACTGAATATATATCCATACCAATTCAAGTCTTACCCTGATTAGAAGCGGCAGAAGTTAGAAAGATATTTGCTTTACCATTAATAAGCCGCATCAATGCTCCATTTAATTCTGGCTGTTATCAGGAAACCACAATCACATAACGAACTCCAAGATGCAGCTGTAGTTGTATAAAATCAGTAAACCAGGGTTACGACCCTATTTGGAAGCAAAAGAGCTCAGTGAAAAGCTTGTCATGTATTGGCTCCTAAGATTAGGGTTGCAGGTTTCTGTACTTCATAACCGATCAAAGAATAAAAAAGAATTGTGTACATTATATTCGCTTGTAAATGATATCAGGCTCGCCCAGTTAAAAAAAGAAAGGAAAAAGGCAACCAAAACAAATGCCTTCCACAAAAAAGTTAAGAATGAAAGTTGATAACATACTTCATGTACTCCACGCAGAGGTGAAGCCTTAAGGCCAAAGACTATGACTGGTCCGGTCTCTGGTTGAAGCACCTGAAAAATCATATGCAACTTTTTAGAAGATATTATATATTCACCTGCACGACCACAATATACCTCTTGCCTTTCTTAAGAATAAACTGGATAGATTGATTTTTTCTTGTCAGGTAATCAGGAGGAAGTTAACCCAGTACGGTACAAAAGTACCAGTCTCTCGCTAAAAATTAAGATACATCTTCCCTTTCCTGAATGTTGGAGACAGCAGTCCCAAAGTTTACATAACATAAATTTCTCACTTGAAATTGAAATACCTTAAATCTGCCATCCATTTCAACTTTCTTGCAGAAACGTTCAGCATGTTCTAGCGCAGAATCTTCATTTGGAGCACTTTTGTCCTTCCCAGAATCACTTGTCTTTAACAACTGGGAATAAATAGCTTCCAGTTCAACTCTATCAGTGCCAATAAGTACAAGGCAACATTTTGGAGGTGATTCCCAAGGCCCACTACAAACAGATTCAACTCTCTTGATCCCACTCCAATGGAAAACATATCGATTTCTTCTGTAAAATACAAACATAACTTCTTTATATCTGATTGTGGAAGCAGGGAAAGAGATGTTAGAGACTGATTAATATGCGATTTAGAAATTATTTACCTGTCTTCCTCAAACCATAGCACACCCTTAGCTCGTAGCAGTCCTGGCATACCAAACATCATCCTCAAGACCATGGACTGGAATGATGCCAGAGATAAGGGAAGATCACTTTCAAACGTCAATGATGAGAAAGATTTATCCTCTTGTTCCAACCCTAATAAAAAATGAGAAATTTGTTACTAATAAGTGTACCAAAACATTCTTCCAATACACTAAATCACAATAAAAAGGCCAATTGGCATAGGCATCTTCATCATCATCAGAGCCTTATCTGATCTATTTCGGGTCGGTGTCAATTGGCATAAGCCATAAACAAAAATGCTAAAAAGACATCATGCATGAAATCAGTGACTACATCACTCATTACATCATGAGCACTTGAAATTTGAGATATCAGAATGCACTGCTTCTAACAGAGTTTTTTATCGTGGTTTCAAACAAAATCAGAACCATGCAATGTGTAGTTTATGTTGGAAAACCAAAAATTATAAAACAGATGAAATTTTAAAGTTGGACGCTCTGCAGACTTTGTTAAAATATTTTCTGGAAAAAAGGAAATCACTACAATTTGGTGTTTGAATACTAAAACTTTGATGGCTGTTCCTTGGGAAACCCGGGCCCCACAGGAGTAGGGGGAGTTTTCCGTGACCACAATCGAAATGTCTCAGGACATACTCAGAATATGTCGGACATGGAGACTCACAATTTGCCGAAGCCTTGGCACTCCTAATGGGCCTAAAATTTTTTAATCCATCTTGGAGCCAATCCTTAGTGGTGGAAGGAGACGCAAAAAACATTCTTTCTTGGGAGCACACATCACTACCCTTCCTTGGTACCTTTCTAGAATATTTGATGAAATTTATCACTTATGCAGGGATACCAACGTCTGTTGGAGGCATACTTGGCGGACGTCAAACGAGTTCGCCAACCTTCTCGCTAAAGATGTTGCGCGACGAAGACCACACTTGGAAGACAATGAATGGTCCACCTCGTTTTTTGCACTGGACCATCGAGATCTTCAAGGACACTAGATCTTTTGGTTGTAGATTTTTGTAACAGGGCGTGCTTATAAGCCCAATTTTTTGAGTTCTCTATTTTTTCGTTACAGCCGCTTCAAAAGGATAATTGTATAGGGTTTTGGCTTAATATTTTGACTGAGACACCTGTCTCGTGGGTATTCTCGGTCCTCTCCTCCCTCCTTCTGCTGTATACTTCATCTTATATAGTAAAACAAGGTTAACATTATAAAAAAAAATACTAAAAGGATTACAATGAAAAAGTCATGAATCATGACAAATGTAAATGGAGGCAAATTTGATATAATTCCACCTGCATGGATATTTCACCATTCAGCAAGGTCATAAAAAACGATGGATGGTGCCCAGGTGCGCTTCCAACGCGAAGGCACACACACACACATACATGTATGCATGTATCATTTCATATTTATGCATTTACATCTATTCTAAGCAAGTATATGTGCAAATATATGCACACAAATGCTGGAAAATACAAGGAAATCATTGAATCATATTTCACAATGACACGTGATAAATCAACATTCTTCTCAATAATGTAAGACAACTAAGTTAACTAACAACCACAAAGAATAAAATACATATAACATATCATAATATACTCAAAATCACATTAAACTCTAAATCATCCAAAAATCATATTAGAACCTCTCTATAGTTCACAATCAATCCAAATAAGAAAAGGGAAATTATTGATAATATCCCTCAAATTTTCAGGAATTCAAAATTACCTTTTCTCTTCTCTCTTCAAATTTATGCCCATACCAATTTTCTCTCCATTTTTATTTTATCCCCAAAATAATATTCACGGACCTAATAGGTCCATAAAGCCTTTACGAACCTATTAGGTCCATAAAAGCCATAAAGGCGCCAAGTGTTGGGGCTTTATGGACCTAGACCTAATACGTCCATAAAGCCTTTACGAACCTATTAGGTCCATAAAAGCCATAAAGGCCCCAAGTGTTGGGGCTTTATGGACCTAAGCACTTACTCAGGCAACCTATTAAGCCCGTAAAGGTCCCAAGTCTCGAGGCACACTTTCTTGGCGCCTTTGTGGCCCTATTAGGTCCATAAGGAACTTTACAGACCTAAAAAGGTCTGTAAAGGCCCCAAATTACAATGCAAGTCTCTATTCAAATTACAAAATATCTCTGAAAAAATATAACTAGAGTTCCTTGAAAGTATTTGCTAGTCCCAATAGTCAACGTCGACCTGACTTCTTTATTTATTTACTATCAATCGTCCTTCATAAAATGCATATTCTTTTCTCTCAACACTTCTCGTTTGCTGGTTCAGCCTCAACTACAATTGTTTTAGTGACTTCAATCTCACTCTGACCTTCGTGCAAGAAAAAGAATTTGGGACCTTTACGGACCTATAAAGGTCTGTATAGACCTAACAAGGCCGTAAAGGCCCCAAGCAAGTGCACCCCCAGGCTTGGGGCCTTCACAGACCTAATAGGGCCGTAAAGGCCCTAAGCAAGTGTTTAGGTCCGTAAAGCCCGAGGCTTGAGGCCTTTACGAACCTATTAGGTCCGTGAACGTCATTTCAGGGCACATTTGGTTCGTGGATAAATATTTACACAGGAAAAATATTTACATATGCAAACACTTTGTAGGAAAATATTTTGCAAACTTTCATTTCACCATGTTTGTTAACACATTTAAAAAGTACTATGTAATGAGTTACATATGTTTGGTATTTAAATATATTTTGAAAATATATTAAATCTATACATGGAATATTTAAAATTTTAAACATTATAAATAGAAATATTTAGTTATATTTATTTAAATACTATTTAAATATTATTAAAATATCATATAATAAATATTGTCTTGTAAATATCTATTACATAAATATACACTTATATTATATATAATATATATAAATACGAATATGTATTAGTAATATAAATATAAAAGTATACTATATAAAACATAATACAATATATAACATAATGTATTTTATATTGTTTTATTAATATAAAATAAAGTAGACCCATAGATGTCAGGATCCAATTTGGTGATGCAGCTCAATGCGGGTGCATCGCCTTTAATGTAGTCAATAGATTTAAAAACACTAAAAATTCATAAAAAATATTATAATGCATAGAAAAATACATATTTGATTTATATGATAATACATATTTTAATTTGTTCATTACTTCTAATATATTAGAGATATAGTGACTTATAGTATGACTGAGGGTATGGCCTTTCATAGAGCAGAATGGCGGAACATGATTTGTGTAGCTGACCCCAAATAGTTCGGATAAAGGTAGGATGATGATTATATTTGTTTTATTAATGTACTACTACTAGTATTACTTAGTACTACTAAGTAGTAGTACTTATACTACTTGTTGTATACTACTAGTACTAATAATAATACTAGTACTATTTATATTATTTGTACTAATAATACTAGTAATACTGGTAGTAGTAGTACTACTAATAGTAATACTTCAAGTAGTAATACTATTACTAGTACTCACTAATGGTATTACTAAGTACTATTACTAATAAGTAGTTGTAGTACTATTACTAATATATTATATAAATGTATTATATTACATAAATATATGTGTAATATAATACAAAGCCGACCCCAATTAATTGGGAAAAGGCTATAATGATGATGATATAAACAGATAATATCATCATCATCATAGCTTTTTCCCAATTAATTGGGGTCGACATTTAAACATATAATATATATAACACAATAAAATGCATTTTATATTTATTTTTTCATGTATAATAATATATACTATATAGATATATTATATTACATAATTATTATAATATAATACAAATATATATTAATAATATAATATAATATAATGTAATATATGAACTTATGTAGTATAATATTATATTTTAGTAATATTATATATTATATTGTTATACTAAAAATATAAATATTATGTATTATATTGTAATATTATATTATACTAGCATATAGTATCTAATGTTGCATCAAACAAATGTATGAAGCGCAATTGACAATAGTAAATATTTTTCCAGAAAACATATATGTTTGGTTCACGCTTAAATATTCCCCAAGAAATATTTACATATGTAAATCATGTTTCATACGTTTGGTTCGTGCAAATGCATATGCAAATAAAAGCTTTTACCATGAATTGGTCTAATTCATGGTACAATAAAACCACATCTATTGAGGTGAGGAAACATTCCCCGTACATTTGTTTTCCACTATTTACTATTTACTATATAATATATTATTACAATTTTTTATATATAAATTATATATTTAATACATAATTATATTTCAATAATAATTAATATATAATTATATTTCAATATTAATTAATATATAATATTTTATATAAATAATATTTTATTTTATATTATATAACATTAGATAATATATATAATATTACAAATCATCTTTCCCATTAATTGGGGTTGGCTACATGAATCATAATCCTCCATTCTGCTCTATTAAAGGTCATATCCTCCGTGAGGTCATAAGTCGCCATATCTTTTCGGACTACTTCCAATCATGTCCTTTTGGGCCTCACCTTTGCCCTTTTCAGTCCTTCCACTTGAACTAATTTGCACCTCCTAACAGATATTGTACTTGGTCAGCGCCACACATGGCCAACCCACCTAAGTCGACTCTCTCTCATTTTATAGCCGCCTATTGGAG